GACTGAGGTCCATTCCTCATTCTCAGACCTCATTGGTCAATTGCACTATTTGGGGCACAAGTGGGAAAAACCAGTGTGGGTGGCTGGGGAAGGCTTTGGGACTCTTGATGTGGGGTAGGGCGCAACTTGAGAAAATTCTGGGGGCGATGTTTGCACAGACACCCTCCTTTCAGAAACAGCCACCCCCAGGCTATTTTTGGGTCCACACCTGCAGCCCCAGCTAAAGTACCAGGTCTCCCGAGCAAGGCAGAGAGAAGCCTTGAGCCTGAACCCTGCTGTGTCTTCTTTCAAGATTTTTTTTGTTTTGACACGGTTTCAAGATTTTTGTTTTGTTTTGTTTTTCAGATGGAGTCTACTCTGTCACCCAGGCCGGAGTGGGGCAGTGGTTCAATCTCCGTTCGCTGCCACCTCCACCTCCTGGGTTCAAGCAATTCTCCTGCTTTAGCCTCCCGAGTAGCTGGGACTATAGGCACCTGCCACCACGCCTGGCTAATTTTTGTATTTTTAGTAGAGACAGGGTTTCACTATGTTGGCCAGGCTGGTTTCAAACTCCTGACCTCAAGTGATCTGCCTGCCTTGGCCTCCCAAAGTGCTGGGATTACAGGTATGAGCCACTGTGCCCGGCCTTCATCTTTCAACTTATATTGAATGGAGCATGGGAGTGGCAGTGGCTAGGGACATTTCCTAGGGACACTCTCCCCTAACCTGCCCCAGAAGGATTTCACAAAAACCTGTGGATAATGGAAGGGATGTTACGGTACAAACGTATATTTATGTGTGTGTGTGTGGGTGTGCGCATAGGTGTGATGTCTGTGACCCCCCTCTCCCCATTACATTTCCCCAGAATGAATGCTGTCCTGTCTTCTCATGTCTGTGTTGAAGCTGCCAAAGTCAGGGAGCTCTGGTCCTGCCCAGACCCCTTTGGAATTGCTGGCCCCTCCCCCCACTGGAGAGCTAGGGTGCAGCTCACCTTGGGGAAGGAAACCTCATGCCTCAGAGTAATTTCTTGTGAATGCGAAGCCTGGGGGAGCGGGTCTTTGTGGGGCAAGGAGCCAGTCAGGGGCTTGTTTCCTCTCATAGAGCTCCCCAGACATGCCCCCGCAATGCCTGAAACCCAGACCTAGGCTAATAAACGGTTCAGTTTCTCTTTCTGGTGGTTGGTGTGTCTTTTCAGGGAGCACTTTCCCCCAGGAGCGCCCCATGGCTGGGCTGGATGGAACGGGAGGGGGGCTGCTGCCTGAGTAACTCATCCTTTGCCAACCTTCCCATTCTGTGCCCCTGACACCCTTAACCTGGCCTGAGCCAGGAGAAAACAGAGGTCAACCGGGATCTTTCTCAGGGGCAACTCTCCTGCCCCTCCCGGGGATTAACTAGGCCTGGGATCTCCCTACTTTCCCTGAAAGAGACAGCCTGGCGGGTGGTGGGAGGCTCTTACATCCTCCCAGTTGTATGTGCCTCCCGGGGAGCTGGAGAGATGGTTTGAGGAGGGTACAAAGAACCCAGATACCCACCCTTAGACTCGGTGTTCCCAAAAGTAATGGCTGATCTCCACCGAGCACTTTCCAGGTGTAAAGACTTGACTGCTCAGGAGGTAGAAGTTACTATAAACTCTCATGGAAGTGTGAGTTCAGAGAGATCAAGCAAACTGCTCAGAGTCACACAGCACTAGTCGGGGTAGCGCCTGTCTGAGTTTGAACCCAAGCAGGCTGACTCGAGACCACACTGGATCCACCACTGGGCTAGAGAGAGGCCACTCAGC